TGCGGGACACAATGCATAGCGCGAGTCGCAAAGAGCTCGGGGCGCCGAGTCATTCCCGCGCCGTGCCTTGCTCGCTTCTGCTCCGATTCCAGGCCGTGTGTTTGTCCAGCGGCACCCACTGTAGCCGCATCTAGCCTCGCGGCGAGCCCCAGCCTCATCCCGGCGTATTGGCCGTGCCCTGCCGCTCGCGTGGACAGCCGGGATGCGCATGCGCTCCCTTGGCGGCGGTCTGCCCTGCCGGGATCCGCTGTGAAAATAGTTATTTCGCTTTCCGTGACTCCGGCGGCGACGGGACGGCCGGGACGGCAGGCGAGCCTCGCGATCCTTCGTGGCCGCGCCGTTCATTCGACAATCGTGCCACCGAGTCAAGGAGGCTCAGCCGTGTGAGCGCGTGCGTGTGTGTGTGTGGGCGTGTGCATGTGTGAGTGCGAGTGTGTGCTGATGAGTGCGATGTGTGAGAAGGGTTCCCACGCGGCGGAAAGCCAGGCAAGCCAGGCAAGCCAGGCAGAGCGACCTTCGTCTTACGCCGCCTTACGGAGCCAGCACTCTGCCGGACAGCGCAGTGTAATGTGTGATGCCGGCGTGCGGAACCGCCGCGTGGTGTGATGCCTGCCACTCCAACGCTCCCGACACTCGGACCGTCAAGGGCCGTCTCGCTTTCCTCATCCGACAGACGCACACCGTCAAGTCTGAAGCGACCACGTTGACCCGAGAAAATCAACATTTTTTGCGTTCGAAACCTTGAACCACGTTCAGTCGACTTGCATTGATAGTGACTGGCCACGGGTGGACTCAACAAGCGTTAGTTTGGCGCTGCTGGTTCACACGCGGACGTCTCCGGGGGTCGCTGTTACTCGGCTCGCTGCTCCGCGAGTTCCTTGGCCGGGCTGACCCTCGGCGGGAACTCCGGTCCGGTCCATCCCACGACGTCCGCGCCGTGACCCCAGGGGGGCAGGGCCGGCCAGGGCCCACAGCCCAGGGGGTGGGCCAGGGCGGCCAGGACGAGGCAGACATCCGCGGCCGCCGGCCGTTCGTGTCGCCACACGGTGCACGATGATGAATATTAACGCAGAGCAACAGTACATGCCGTGCGGCAGGGCGGCGGCAGGGTGGCACACTGCCTCGCGGCCTGCACGCCCTTCGTCCCCTCGTCCTTCGTCCTTCCCGCGACCCGAATGACTCTCAGTTGGCACTTTCTTCCAGCAGCCGTCCCTCACGTCCGCCCCTAATGTCCCCGCCGTGTCACTCGGAGTCTCACCGCGGGGCGGCGCTGTCTCTCTCGCACTCGCGGCGCGTCCAGCGCGGGTGCGAGAGAGACGGCGGCGCGACGACGAGACGGATCGGGCGTCGTGCATCAAGCGGTCCAGTGGCGCTGGGACGGGGCTGCGGGGCCAGACGCTGTCGGCCCGGCCAGACTGTCGGCCAGACTGTCGGCCAGACAGCGCGACGCGGCTTGACAACGCCCATTTCCAAGACGCCCGTCCGAATTTCGGATGCTACTTGATGACAGTTTCGAGGCTTATTTTTCAACCAACCGAACGACGTAGACGAGATTGTTGTCACGCCCGTGCAATTTTTAAACGAGCGGTAGAAAACTAGTGTTTTTAAGGTTTCATAACCACTTGTACTAATGCTACTCGTTTATGACACCGCACAGTGCCGAGCCGAGCCAAGAGCAGCGAAAATGGCCACGGACGGTCCACCCTCGCGGCCGCGGTCGCCGACGTGGCGAAGAAGTGCTCGTCCCTGGTGACCTCGCGGCCTCGCAGCGCGCTTTCCATACTCGGCCCTCATCAAATCTGTGGTCGGCGGCCACGATGAGCGTCTTCTCGATGACGTGTCTTGCGGGGGCCTTCCGGGTCGCCCCGCCCCGCCCCGCCTCGCCCCGCCCCACCCCGCCTCGCCCCGCCCCGCCTCGCCCCGCCCCGCCTTGGCCCCGCCTCACCCCGCCGGTGATAATCAATCCGCTGAGATAGCGCCGGGACGGCATGACAAATCGCGCGCTCTCCATCACCATCAGGCGGGCTAGTCGGATTCCGAACAGTGGACCATCACCGTTCCGTCTCTGTCGCACTCCGACGGGACGCCCCTCGAGTGCGGGAAAGAGACAGAGCGACGACAGCCTGCAGGCTCAGGGGGGCTCAGGCCAAGCGCCCCGGGGCCCTGCCACATCGGCCACATGCAGCCCGTTATTGAATAGCCATTAGTCCCCTTGCGTCACCGCGCGGGAAAATTCAAACCGGGGAGGACAATTATTCTCTAGGCCGGCGGCGCAACTTCCACGAGTTTCCCATGCACGAGCACCGTTCTGTCCGACGGCCGGCCGGCCGGGCGGCGTCTTGCCTTTGGCACTGCGCTGCAAGTGCGGTGCTGCGCGGCCCGTGTGCCGTCCCGTGATGTGCGGTAGCGACGACCCCCGCCGACCTCGCGCCGCCGGGGCACTGCGGGGCACTGCGGGGCACCGCGGGGCCGTTTCCTAATAAACAGACCATGTACGTCTCGGCCGCACTCGCTGCGCCTTGGGCAACGCAAACAGAAAAAAACTAGTTCTCACCTCCGCCCAAAAAAACTTGAGAGAGCCGCAAAACCAAGAGGCGTTTTTAAGAAACAGTTTGCACAAGTGCGCGCGTCGAGTGAAAATCCGTCTGTGGCGACGGCCGCGCGTTTTTTCAGGCTGCTCTCTCGGCCGGCGTCGCTGGCGGACAGCAGAGCGTCGTGCAAGGAGGCGTCCTTTTGTTTCGGGTTCGACAAGGCGCCGAGCAAAACCGCACACCATTGGCAACCTTTGCTGTGCCGGTAACCTTTGCCCCGCCGAACTTCGCGCGACTGCCGTGGCGCGGCCAACGAGGCTCTCCTTCCAGTGGGAGGCTTTCGGGCCGCCAGGACGCCGTCAACAGGTCGACCTAGCAGTGGCGTGGCTTATCGGCGACGCGGCGCAGTCCGGTGCCAATGCCAGGGCCGGCCAGGGCCACACTGCCACTGGTCGCGCAGGTGTCGGGGTGAACGGCCGCCCCGCAGCGCCGTGCCCGCCGAGGCCGCCGGCCTGATGCGGGCGTTTACTCCAGGCCGCGCCGGGCCCTTCAGGGGGCGGGGCCGCAACGGGACCGCGGCGGTGCCGTGCAAGTCCGGATCCAGGAATCACGACCCAGTCACTGATATCCAGGGCCCGGCTCAGGCCGGTCGGTATCCATAACGAAGGGCCGTTAAAGCCCCGTGCGCCCTGGAGCCGACATGGAGCCGCGCCAGCCAGACCCCCCAAACACCGTGTTGTTGTTGTTTCGGTGGCTCGGAGGGAGACTTCCGCTGTGACTCCCCTCTCGGACTCCGAGACACCTGAACATCGAAACCATGCCGTCGGGCTTTACGGCACGGGCATGACATGACCGCCATGAACACCCCTCATCCACACAAACACACGCACAGGCACACACACACACACAAGCGCGTGTAATGCGAACGCACGCGACGCATCGCGAGAGACCACCTCACCGCGGCGGCGCACTTGCTGACCTCCTCCATCCTCGTCGCACTGCGTCGTCGCGCTGCGTCCCACGACCCGGAGCGAGAGAGACGTACGGTCGGACGCTTTGCGGCGGCCGGCCGGACTCTAAACATCGGTCTGCGTGCGGCATCCCGGCAAACAATCTCCCCCTTCTTCTGGCCCTTTCGCTGACCACCCATGATGAGCTGCAGAGCCGCAGCGGGTGCACCTTGTGTCGCCCTAGGACGCTGGGAAGCTGTCCACCGTGGCCAAGGGTTCGCATGCAGCAGGGCTGCAGGACGCCGCAGGGCAGTGAAAGCGCTCGTCACCGCGACAGGGGATTCAGAAGAAGTGAGCAATGCAATCGACGAGTGGACCGGAGTGGGAGGCGGTCGCCGCCAATCCCAGAGGCTTGAGCAAGATCCACCTGCACAACGATGGTGTTTTCTTTTGTAGTCATGAGATGCCAAGGCGGGAAGCACATCTAGACACGATGACAGTTTTGTTGGTGGTTTAGGAAGACATGACATTGACTATGAATATTTGCTTAGTGACCAAAGCTTGGACACTAGAAAGAAAAGTCGAGAAAAGTGCGGAAGGGGGATTTGGGCACATTGGGGCAATGAGAGACGATAAATTCTCGGACTTTGATTCCCAATAAATTATAAACGCTTCTCAAAATCGGATCCTCTCACTGAAAAATAGTTTCCAAAAAGACACGGATACACACATAACCTTCGTCAGAGCCGGCGGCGCCCTTGCCTTTAGTTTCTTCTTTTTTCCCTTTCGGGCGCACACTGCGCGGGGAGATAGATGTAAGTGATGTGGTGGAGAACGCACTGAACGCAGTGGCGCGGCACGGCGGCGCGAACTGAGGCACCGTCAAAGGCGCCGAGGAGGGGCCCGGCCGTGAGCGGGGTAGGGGAGGGGACCGAGACACAGCATGTAATTTGGGAGCGGACCCTTAATGTAACGATGGAAACCAAACAGATGGGGGAAGTCATGAGCCATTGTGCAACGCCTATTGATTTTTGGTATTATCTGATCATCACTAACGCGCGTACCGGCGGCACGCATTATTTTAAAAGCAAATAAGAAATAAAGGGAGAGAGATTCCGTCGCGTCACCGTGTTAGGCGGCCCTTCACGATGCAGGCACAGCAGTGCCACTGCCACAGCACCACATGACAGGGAAAGTGGGATTGGGCCTCAGGGTCAAGTCGCACGTTACCAACGTAACACTCCCACAACACCGTCCGCCTATCGTCCGGCCGCCCAGCAGCGATTATAACTAAACCGCGCTACACAGTCGAAGCGAAGCCAATAAAATGGACACGTACAACAGAAGCCCGAGGAAGACGAATCGATGCTTGACATTCCACGGTTTGAAAACACACTCTCACCAAAGCCTTCCCAGCCCAACATTCTGCAAGCGTGCTTCCATCCGAAAACCTGTCCACCGGTTTCGTGCCAACTGAGAAGGTCCCGGTTGCTCCGGGCGGACTCCATTGTTTACTAACCGGCGTGCCGTCCTCGACGTCCAGGCCGGCGGGGCGTCCGCGCGGCTTCCTCATGGTGGCGGTGCTTCGGCACTTCACTCACACGCAGCACAGCACTGCACTCCACCAAACCACGAGAACCATGCTGCACTCTGCAGCGCCACTGCAGCGAGCGACAAGAGAACCGTCAAATGCGGCGAGCGCCACGACAGCGAGCGACAACCGTCAAATGGGGCGCTGCGAAGCGGAAAGCGACCAGCCGTACCGGCGTGCAGCCGGCGACTGGCTTGGCTGGCTGGACGCCGAGGGCCGGGCGGCAGGACGCCGGGACGCCGCGGCGGAACGGAGCGTCGGCATTGGCTGGGAAGGCGAGGAGTGCGCCGCCGTGCGCCGCTCCCCCGTCAGGTCCCCCTTCCCTTCCTGCAGGGACCGAGCGAGGGACGCTCGTGGTTTTGTTGTGCTGCATGAGCTGAGAGAGCGGAGACGGACACGACGCTTGACAGCAGCGAGGGAGGTTTGCGAGCCGGGCAACGTCTTAACTTCCCATTGCCTTCGCCTTCTATTTACTGTCGTCCTTCCTCTCTGCGCTTCCAGACGACCAGCGAGTGTCCCCGATGCCACCGCACTTGTGCCTTGTTGTGCTTCTTCGAGCTTTTTGCATCGCCACGGCTTGCGCTGTTACCAAACGGCTTGGTCGCGTGATTCCGTTCGTTGGAGGCGCTAGCTTGAGGGGAAAGGTCGGCACGCGGCGGCCACGCGACCCACCCGCGGGGCGCGCTTATTAGGCGTGTGCGACAAGGACCGAACGGTACGGCTGCGGGCGCGGAGGGAGGGAGACGGAAGACCGCGCGGTGCACCTCGGCTCGGCGCGCGCGCGCTCAACCGGAACTGAGGTGGGGGCGCGCGGCGCGGCTCGGAGGGCTGGCGGCGGGCTGTGCGTGTCGGTGAGGGTAGGCTCGAATGGAAGTACAACTTGGAAGATGGAGCGAGGCCGTGGTGGCAGGGCGGGACACCCGCGGGACTTACGAGGATGGATGAGATTGCTGAAGAGTGCTCGTTGCGGGAAGGAAAAAGGTGTGCACTAATGTGGAGTTTTGGATTTATTTATTTTTTCCCGTGTACAGTGTTGGTTGCTTTCATCTCCAATTATTGCTATACAGTACTGCGAGGAGATGCTACCAGCTACTCATTCCAATCGAGCAGTTCACGTAAGTACAATCGTAAACAATCACACAGGTTTGAACGGGCAGACCACTTCCACGCTCAAGAGAGACGCCTTAACCAGAAACAAATAGAAGTAACTTCACAACTACAGGTGGCATCTTGGTATCGATAGTGTGCCACAAAGAGTAATGTCATATCCGTCGAATTCCTTCTGTTTAAGGTCATTAAGGCACCACAATTGTCTTTGTAGCTTTGTAGCGTAGCTTGACAACTAGTCGTTTGGCAGTGAGTGCGGACTCTGGGTGTGCATGAGGTACACTGAAATTATTGCCTTCCACAAACCCACAGTTCAAACAATTGTACACAGGAAGACGGCATAAGTTACACCTACCCTCAGTGACCCCACCCCGCGGGTCAGCGACTGTTCTATTTTGCTCCTGCATCATTTTTTGCTGCCACTGGAAGGCAGTCACTGAAATTGACAGAAATTGAATACGTTGACAGGTACTAATTGCGACGCTTTTCACACCTCGCAAACATCTGGACTTGTGATGGTTTATATGGATTGCTTAACTTCCCGCGTACTAACATGCATGTCCAACTATCACCGAAAGCAAGAAGTGCAGACGGTTGCAAATGTACAGGTGACTTTGAGCTTTCTACAATAAAAAATCACAGGAATATGTGTACAACACTACAACAATCATAGAATAGTCCACAACCGATGACCAATGTCAAGTTGGTAAAACGTGGGGCACGCGCAATCTTGCCACAACTCTATCAACTTAATTCTGGATGCTTTTTTAAAAAATAATTACATCACATCCACGTATATATTTATACAGACATTATTTATGCTTGAAAAATAACAATTGCTTTCTTTGAGTAACACAGTATAATGCAGTTCCTATCAATTTTTCCTATAAATTGGTACAGTTTTGCTGTCACATGCACCCTAAATCTAACATTTATATATAATTAATATTTTTCACTCAAATTACACATCAACTACCGTTGGTACCACCCTCGATCAAAATAAAACACAAAGACACACGTGAACCTATTTCAAAGTGAGACCAAATCCAATGTGGTAACACGCTCATAGTAAAAGTAGGTGTCCTAGCTGGAAGTAATTTTCTGGATAAGTATCAACTACAGGTTTACTTAGGTATAAAGGAATCAGCAGCACAATTCTTTTTTATATTTTCTACGTTTAAGTTGAAATTGACGACCTCTGCGTCACATCACATCTGGTGGTTCTCTCTATGGAAACCAGGCTAAATTTGTAATGTTTCTGACGCACAAATAAATTAAATGACAATATGCAATATTTCAATGAGTTAATAAGGGCTCAAAAAAGCCCTTCATTTTAAAGTTCTTCCAAAAATTTGAACGAGTTGACGAGTTTTAGAGCTGCTTGAAAAAGTGTCCCATAAAGTATTACTCCTCTTGCTATCGGCCATAGCAATTTTCATCTTTGAACCTTCCGATGTACATTCGATGGAAGGGAAAAACTCTTTATGTATAAAAAATATTTTCAGTTCTTTATAACGTTTACGTAAATCACTGAAGTTCCACTCGTGTAGGCCTTGCAAACCTCGAAGTAAATGTTCCGAGGAAAGCGTTTTATATTGTCTTCAATACGAAATATCTGTTGAAGCGGTTAAAACGTAAAGCCAATTGTTTTTTTAAATGCAGGCACAAAGCTTAATATGGATGAAAATCACATGCTAACATGCTCAGTGTTTCAACATACTGGTTTGTTAAAAAAATACTGCATGGTCACAAACATGGCAAACAATTAGGAAATACGGAGTCAAAAACTTTGTAACAGAGAGATTTTGTGCATTAAAAGACAAACAAGAGATTGTAGAAATACACATTACATTACTCGTTTTGAAGAGAGAAATACACAGAGGAAGTTCGCATGTACCGTGCCCTAGATAAAATTACATATGGTGAACAGCCTTGCCTGATGAAGTCTATAAGGTTCGTACATCAGATACACTGCTTACTTTTTAAAAACATTATTAAGCTTTTGCCAAATGCAGGTTAGGTCACTCGCCATAATAATAACTTTTTCCGGGGAACACGATGAAATAGATTTACGACTAAGTGAGTGATTTCGTACGATAAAATTTTGAAATACTTCGTCAAGCCTCAATTGTAAAAAGCACCCCTTGGGCGTGCTTCCTAATCTCAACAACTTCTCAGGTCCAGTAGACGTTCCATTGGCTTCACAGTGACAATGAACAGCCATTAGTTCAGAAAGCAGCAAGAGAAGTCGGGCATAAGGAAAGAAAGCTAAAGATTTAATTTTGGCACTGCCTGATTGCTTCCTTCTTCTGCGAAGAGATGATTCAAATACTACTACGCCCCGCCCAAATATGGCAATTAAATTCTAGGACTCAGCCTGCGTACGCTTAAATGACTCCTCTTAATTTGCAAGACTGAAGCGTATTCCATTTCGAAGTTTTGCACAGATTTACCCTGTATCACTTGTTCATCCTTATCACACTACATCTGCAGTGAGACTTTAACTTACGTTCCGTAAATGACAACAAAATGTTTCTTCCTTGAAAGCAATTCTGACAACTTCGAGTCAAACAAATTGAAAACTGGAGGCGTATTACTACATCTCTTACCAAACTTAAGCCCCCTCTGAACAATAACACATGTTCAACGGTATTGCCCCGTATACTTCTGTGTTAATCTTGCACAAGTGTGGCAGCGATAAAATAACATGAAGGAATAATCGTGTCTCACTAAGCACAAAACAAATTCCGTTCTTTTCTTTTTTAGGAATACCTATGATCCCTTATTCTCTTTCGATTTCAGTCGCGCTAATTCAATAACAGATAACACCCTCACGTAGGCATCACGTGAGGTATAAAATAACGAAAAACACATATATCTAATAAACAATTCCTACGGCAACGTCTATTCACAAATTGATTTTTTTAAAGTCAGAAACTGACAATGACATTGACAATGGCAAATCGCGGTATACATTATAGTCTATTTACATCAGTACAAACATAGATACATCTTGGGAATGAAACAAAACTTTGGTGTAGCTTTAAACACCCTGGTAAATGACATCGTAAAAAAGGACACGGCGTCTTCACGTTTGCGTTTTTTAAAATTAAGTGGACGCGATGAGACAATTGTAAATTGCCAAATCAATCGATTGAGTTTGCTGTTGACCACTTCTAAAGTCAAAGTCACCTCGTTCGGACGCTCAAAGAGTCCCACTTAACAAAACCAAAAATACCCAAGCTTTTGTCTGTCAAACCTGCTCTCAGGTTGTATTTCATCGGACAACAGATGTTATTACAATATACTACGCCCTGCGTCCATTGACTAGATACTCTGTAACAAATAATTTACTCATTACCATATCTCCATATAACAACCAAAAGATTATCTGGCCAAAAAAGGCCTACTTAATCTCCTTGCGGAGATAACCAATATAAACAAATAAGTACTACTATGTATCACTTGTGACAAAAGATTTTTTTTGGCAAAAATCTGCTTTTAAAAAAAGTACCAGCTCATCAAAACTCCGTGAGTCAAGTGAATACATCTAAGCCCTTAACGATTTCTCCAAACACAATTATCACACATACATGGCGTTAAAAACTCTACCTTTTTTGTTTACATATACATGCAAGTTCTATAAAATAAATGTTGCATCAATCCTGGCACGGTATACATTACCCTTCAAATAAAGAACCACGCTTGAAGTAGAAATGAATTAACAACAATACGCCGCCCCAGTGCTCGCTGTCCAGCAGAAACCACTGGTAGCCGTGTGCGCTGCTCTTTCAGACACCATCCTGCAGTCTGGTAGTGGCGGTCTGGACCGTGTGCGACGTCTGATTGTTTTCTGTACAAAACCAGAAGAAAATGAAGCGGACAGGCCTGACCCCTCACCGCGCTGGCAGTGCTGTTGCAGTGCCAAGGTCCACCTCACACCCTTGGGCCTAGGTCAGCCTCTAGGCCTCTAGGCCTGGCAGGCCTGGGCGTCGGCGAGTTTGGCTGTCTCGGAGGGTGGCTCCTTGGGCTGCGTGGGGGGTGCGTTGTCTGTGGACAGAGGAAGTGAAAGTGAGACAAGAAAGCCATGCGCGATGGACATGCGCGGCACATCGGGGAGGGGGAAGCGTTGAAGCGTTACCCAGAAAAATAACAGAATCATGGCTGTGGCCAAGACAAGGTGCTCGAGGTGAAAAGCGTGTGCCGTCTATGACTGCGGAGTAAGTGAGCCACAATGGTCAACGGAAGAGTAAGATTCCTCAGTTCAACCGAGCTGTCGGATGCACCACAAGGAACTGACAAATAAGGCGCTGCTCAGAAACCAAGGCTACACCCTTTATGGCTCTGGACAGGTCTAAACATGATGAATACGCATAGAAGGAGTGCTTTGTTAAAATGCCTTTTGGCACAGTGAAACAAAGATCTAACAACGAGTATTCCTAAGCAGAGTCTAAGTTGTGTCTAAAGGAAAACTAGAGTCAAATGTTGTGGAAAACAAAGATGACGTCACATCGCATTGAATTGGAGATCGCCGGGATTAAGCGTGGTCAAAGCCCTCTAGACGCGCCCGTTCCTAAGGAACATGCACACTAGGGCACGCTAAAAGCACACCGCCTTTGTGTCTTGTTGGCTCGACTCGTGGCTGCCTTGGCCTTTCGGTCCTAAAAAAGTTTCACAGGCAAGTCACATTAACAGACGCTACAAACAGTCAAAATCCTTGCACATTTACCTAACCTAAGTTTCTTTTCTATATACTAATAACCACTTTTGTTTACGTCAGTTATACAGTGTCATACTAAATACCATGAATCATTTGTCAAATACTTAAACCTTGATTCCGCTACACCGTTTTAAATTTCTAAAAGTTATACTAGGACTCTAGACACACTCCCTAGTTTAGGCCATAAATATGTCCTTTGTTTTATTTTTAATTTTAATGCTCAGTATTGCCATGACTACGGAGTGGATGAAGGTTCCTTTCCACAGTAACAGACTCGCATTCAATAACCCAAGAAATTCATAAGGCTGGACTGAAACGTACCGTTATGGTGGACTACGGAATGCAACGGGATCGTCGTTGGGCTGTTGTTCTTCAGATGGGCCCGGTACTCAGCCGTCAGCGAGAGGTCAGAAGGACCCCAATCGTCGTTTGGAACAAGAGATTGCAGCAGTTTCTGCAGTGAAAACAAAGAGTTTAGTGTGGTTCATGCATCCCGGCCAGAGTGATGCTTCAGGGTTGCTGACCTCCTTGAGGGTGCCCTTCTGCCTGGCGACCTGCACTACCGCCCAGAACGGAATCTGGATCATCGAGGCCAAGGCCAGCATCCAGCCCAGCGCGTCCGCCCAGTCGGGGTAGTCGTAGTCCTCGTATTTCAGAGGTTTGTAGTCCACCAGTGAATAAATAAAGATCACCTGAAAGGCAAATTAGTTTCAATTAGAGCGTTAAGACTGTTTCTCGTGTAAAATTGACACTGAAATACTCACAGAAAGGATGATCGGGGCGAAGAAGCCCCACGTTATCCTCCAGTAAAAGCCAGGCTTGTAACCCAGCATGAACTCAAGGTCCCCGCAAAGCCGGTTCAAACCTGCAACGTGTTTTGAAATTTTCTCAGTACAAGTTAGGGCAGCACAGGCACGCCCACCAGCAATGCCACCCTCACCATAAATCCAGACTAAGCTGCAGCATTCGACGATGGCGATGAAGAGAACTGCAATGCCACCGCCGTAGACGTCCATGAGCGTGAGGACGTAGTTGCCTCCCTGAGAAAAACACGCAAAAAATTTAGTATGGCGTATCCGCCGCTTTACAGGGCTACATAGTTATCGGTTAAATGTGCTGGTAGCCCTTTTCAAATCATTCCACTCACATGGGTGATGCAGGAGAGGCCTACGACGTAGCAGAAGAGGGCAGTGCCGATGCAGAACATGAGCTTGTGCGTGCGCAGCACGGTGAACTCGTCCGAAATGCTGGTCAGGACGTTCTCCAGCAGGGCGAACTGGAGCACACGGAAAGAGATGATGCAGCTAATACACTTTTCTAAACTATGCTAGTCGATGCAAGAGTCGGCAAAGAGTGTGAAATTATTCCGGGCTGGCGCAACTCTGTGATCTCAGCTCCTCTGCATAAAAAACAAACAACAAAAACCCACATGCATGAAAAGACTCCTACTCCATGCGCCACGGTGGGACGGCGCTCCAACGACTGGAACCGTACTCCCCTTCCCGGAGTCGCGGCAGTCGCGGCAGTCGCGGCGCGCACGTCCCAGTCTGGTTAACCCTGGCCGAGGACGAGCGTGTCTCCGCGATGCGGAGCGGGGCGGGGCAGCGCGGCGTCGGCACGGAGCCGTTAACAAATGAGGCTGATGAGTGAGCAAGTTAGTTGTGCACACCACAAACGCCCAACTATGCAGAACGGGGAAATTAGGGAATGGAGAGATGGCGACTCGTGCCTGCCACGGCGAAGAAAGGGCCTCACCTCGCTGTCCAGGCCGAGGACGAAGAGCATGAGGAAGAACAGCACGGCCCAGAGCTGCGGGAAGGGCAGCCGCAGCAGCGCCTCGGGGTACGCGACGAAGGCCAGCCCGGGGCCCTCCTTGACCACCTCCTGGATGGGCACGCCGAGGTCGTGCGCCATGGCGCCCAGGATGCTGAACGTAACGGTGCCCGAGATGATGGACGTGAGCGTGTCCATCACGCTCACCACCAGCGCGTCCCTGCGCGGAAAAAGGAACCTCAGTGTTTGAACCCATGCAGCCGCAGCCGCGTGGAGCGTCCGGCGCCTGCGATTTGGAGCCTGCTCGGAGTCGGCGTGACTTCAACCGTTACGCAGGCAAGGCACGGAAAAACTAATTATTCACTGGTTTCTTTTCTTCCACGCAGTTATAGAACAGGATGTTTCAAAAGTGGCCGAAACCTGCCTGTATACGTTGTTCCTGAAGTCGTTGTAGCTGGAGTACATGATGAGCCCCCCCATGGACACGCTGAGCGAGAAGAACATCTGTCCGGCGGCGGCCTGCCACACCTGGATGTCGAGCAGCTTGTTCCAGGTCGGCATGAGGAAGTAGGCCACGCCGGACCAGGCGCCCTCCTGGCACAGCCCCGTGATGAGCAGCGTGAACAGGATGACGTAGGGGAAGGTGGCTGCGAAGTACACCACCTTGCCGGAGGTCTTGATGCCCTTCACCAGGCACATCACCACGATGCACCACGAGAACAGCAGGCAGGCGGCCAGGTCCCCCTTCACGGGGCCCATGTTCTCGATGCCGTCGGAGAGGTGCAGCACATGCCGCCTGCGGGACAAAATTTTCGTTATCATTCAATTTTTTTTTCGTGCGGCAGGTTGGCCAGGGTTGCTGGCAAAAGCCGAAAAACGGGCCGGTTGGCCGCCGCTCGGCACCCTCCGCTATCTCTCCGAGATTAGGGCCAGGGCCCCCTGCCCGCCCCGGCCCGCCCCGCCCTGCCTGCCAGGGCCGTGGGGTGTGGATGACGGTGCGGGCAGCGCCGTGGCAGCGCCGTGGCAGCGCCGTGGCAGCACCAGCACGGGCCGATTGAAAACAGTTTCCAAGTCTCAAAGCCAGGCGGGCCGCCCAATCAGAACGCGCGGTAATGAAGGTTGGGCAGAGCGAGGGGTGAGAAAGGAGGGGGGGGCCTCTTTCCCGCGGAGGGCGCCAGAACGGCACGAAAACGGGGGCTTGTTTGCCGGCCCCTCGAGAGGCGAGATGTGTCGTTGGCGTTGCACGCGTTGGTGGCACTTACTCCCAGTACTGCAGACTGGCGGTCTCCTTGCCCGCGGTCTCGTTGGGGTTGCGGCCCGTCGTGGTGTTGGTGCCGTTCGTGCCCTGCCGCAGACAAACGCAATCTTTGCTCGTTCCCTTCGCTATCGCTTCGTTTCGATGTGTCGACCAAGCCGAGCCAACGCCTACCTCAGTGTTCCGGACGTAGCAGGTCGCCATGTCCGCCCAGGCGGGGTCGCACTTGGACCAGGGCACCTCGGAGGCGAAGGACGCCACCATGTAGTACACCGTGTACGACATGATGACGTTGTAGTAGATGCACACCACCAGCGACACGGTCACCATGGCGCAGCCGACACCTGCGCAACGAGAAAGCGTGAGGGCTGGTTGGAGAGCCTCGCAGGGCGAGAGGCGACAACTCGGTGACGTCACCGCGCCCTCATTGGACGGTTTAGCCGTGCGAGCGCAGTGATTTGACGGTTTAGGCAAAACCTCCCGAGTTGTTGCCTCTCTCCTTGCGGAGTCTCTACAGACGCAGCGCAGCGGGCGCCCGCCGGATGCGGGGTAGGCCCGCCCGCCGCGCGACGGTGTCGGCTGGGCGGCCTGCCCACCCGGCGCTCTCCACTCGAACTCACCTTTGGCGATCGGGCAGCAGTTCCACATGGCCAGCGGCCCCACGCCGCCGAACTGCCCCATGGCCAGCTCCAGGAAGTACATGGGCTTGCCGGCCAGGGCCATCATGATGAGGTAGGGGATGAGGAAGGCACCTGTGGGCAGAAGCAGCCGTTAGTCGTTGAAGGTCGGCGCCGATGGACTCGGCGGCTCCAGCCGGGCGGCCCCAATGGTGGGCATGCACGCGCTTCATGCAAACACGGAACTCGCGCGCAGTGTGCTGCCCAGTGCCCAATCCATCAAGCCGATCAAGCCCCCGCCGGCCCCGGGCCGCGCGGTCAGAACCAACATCGGTCTCCGCCTCGTTCCCATTAACTTTGGCCGCCCCGTCTCGCCTGGACCAATCAGCGCGTTTCAGAGCAGGGATCATAATGTAAGCCAAGTGTAGTCGACGAATTATTCGTGACTCAAAAAAGGAAAGCGGGAGCGAGAGAGGCGGCGGGCAAAAAAAGTGTCGGGTAATTTCAGCCGCTTCGGGCAATTAACATGGAGCCCCGGCCGGGGGGCGCGAACGAAAGGGAGGGGGAGAGAAGCTGCCTCGTTTCTTCCAGACCGAGCACGGCACCACGGCGCCACCAGAAGCCACTGAACTTGGATGTAAGGTGACCCGCACAGGGTGACGGGACATGGCTCGCGCTGCATGCCGTCGCAGCGAGGCAGCGAGGCAGCGAGTGGCAGGGCAGGTCCGAGTCGCTAAGCCGCCGCGGCCTGGCCGCGGACACGCCGCCACTCCAAACACCGATAAAAGGCGAGGCGGTGTTTGCCTCCGGCTGAGCGCGGTGGGGGATTCGCGGGCAGGAGCGGCCGAGGCGGGTAGGCAGGCTGGGAAGGCGACGGAGTGCGGCTCGAAGGCCTAGCTTCAGCTTCAGCCGGGGCTCCAGGCTCCGCACTCCAGGCTGCGGTTGGCAGGGCCGCGCCGCGGCTGCAGCCGCCAAGTCGCTCTATCGCCTCATTTGGCAGCGCAGCGCGGGGGCGCCCCCCCTTGGAGCGAGGTGCGGCAAGGCGTCGCGTCGTGTCGCTCTGCCCCCGAGCCCCACGAGCCCCCCACGCCACGGACCCCTTCTGCCAAAACAAATATTTCTTTCCATCAAGTTTCGCCTCCCGGGTTTGGGGGTTGAGGGGGGGGGGGGCAGTGACGTGGGCGCGTGAAACAGTTGGCTTGTGCGGCTGGCGGGGCTGGCGGGGCTGGCGGGGCTGGCGTCTCGCTGCGCCCTGCGCCTCCCCGCGGTGCCTTCGCCCAGCTTCGCCTGCCCCGCGGCGCGGGCCTCGGCCTTGGCCGGCCTTGGCGCCGCATTTGCCGTTCACCGCCACGCCCGTCATGCCCTGCTCCGGGGCGGTCGGCGTGGTCGACGGCTTGCCGTTATCTGCCGCGGCCACGCCGCCGCGACGGCGTCGTGTCGGCGGAAAAATCAGCGCTGGTAATGGAGGGGTAGCGGAATCAAAGTAGCCCTTCGCCGCCCGTCCCCTCGGCGTTCCAGCCCCGGGCCGAGAGCCCGGCCGAGAGCCTCGCCGAGAGCCGAGGCAATGAAGGGGAGGAGCAGCGGAGCCATCAATGATTCAACGCCTCTGCCTCCGCGCGCCGCCTCGCCGCCTCGCCGCTGACTTTAAACCTTTCTCATTATCAACGTGATGGTCCGGAGCGCCGCGGGGCCGCGGGGCCGCAGGGCCAGACTTGGGTCCCAGAGGCACGACGTCAACCCGGCCGTGATGACTGCAAAAGAGCCTCACAGGGCTCTCCGTCGGCGCCAACACTTTCGGCCGCGCAATCAGCGACGCGGCGTGCGCGGCGTGCGCGGCCTGTGTCACTGTGTCACGACGTGAAGAAGGTCGAGGAGGCCGCGGGCTTGCTCCCTTTCGCCGTCCAAATGATTGTTTCAACTATTACGCGCGCTATTACGGGACTGGAGAGCGTAACACGAGTGCATTACTTCCTCGAAATAACCGTAGAGTGAGTCCTCGCAAGTGCTGGTCGAGAGAGTAAAGTCGTGATCGTGTCGGTGGGCGCGGTTCCTGAGGGGGATGCACTGCCAGGCTCGGACTGGCCAGGGCAGACAGGCAGAAAAATCTGCCGGGGCCATTCGGCTTTGGGACAAGTAACGTCAGAAAGTTGGTCAAAGAGTCCTAGTATATATAGGACGAAAGTAGCCGTTTTCGCTGATTTTGGGCGGCCACTACGTCCGATCTACTTGCGGTCAACGGCCTCCCTCAACGCCCTAGTATTCTTAAGACCCTACTCTTTCATGCCCTGTATCGGGAAGACGTTGACCACAACGATTTTGGCTTTGACCGCAACGATTTTCCGACCAAGTTGGTCAAAAAGTGGCTGAATCTCGGATATTTGCTGATTTTGCTGACTTTGGGTGGCCACTGTGTCCAATCTAGTCGCCGTAAAAGGCCTCCCTCGACGCCCTAGTATTCTTAAGACCCTACTCTTTCATGCCCTGTGTCGGGAAGACGTTGACCACAACGATTTTGGCTTTGACCGCAACGATTTTTCGACCAAGTTGGTCAAAAAGTGGTCGAATCTCGGAAATTTGCTGATTTTACTGACTTTGGGTGGCCACTGTGTCCAATCTAGTCGCCGTAAAAGGCCTCCCTCGACGCCCTAGTATTCTTAAGACCCTACTCTTTCATGCCCTGTATCGGGAAGGCTATTGACCGCAACTCGTTTGGGAGCGGTAACCTCACAAAGTTGGTCATGAAGGGTAAAAACATAATGATGATCCGGGGCCTTTTGGGGTCTTATCCGCTGGGGCCTTTTGGGGGCCAGTCCGAGCCTGTGCACTGTTACTACCGTCGCCGCCTTGGCCACACGGCGGCCACGGCGTGTCCGCCACGGCCACCACGGCCCTTCGGACTGTCTTGGTGCCGCCCTAATTTAGCCCTCCATTTGCCGTGTCACCCTCCACCCCCCGTGTTTGCCCTCTCATGTCATATTCATCGCCGCCCTTCACGGCCGCACGTGACCTTTGGCGCCGCTCGCGGGCGGGGTGGGGCGGGGTGGGGTGGGGCACCGCTCGCGGGCGGGGTGGGCTGGGGAGGGGCGGGGCGGTACGTGGGCGCGCGACAATCAGCTTCCTGGGCCAAGCCCGGCCAAGCCCGGCCAAGCCGCGAGACTGTGGGGCTGCGGTGCGGGTTGCGGGGCCCACCCACGCGAGGTGGCGATGAAGGTGGAACACTCCCGTCTGTCGGCCACGTCGAGACTGTCGAGAGGCAGGACGCCCTTCGCTCCGCTTTGCTGTGACTCACCGCCGCCGTTCTGGTAGGCCAGGTAGGGGAAGCGCCACACGTTGCCGATGCCCACGGACAGCCCGACGCAGGACAGCAGGAACTCCCAGCGCGAGCCCCAGGAGCCCCGCTCGGCCACGGCGGCCAGCGACGGCCTGCGGATGGCGGCGTCCATGGGCGTGCCCGCGCCGCTGGAGCCGCCCGCGCCGCCGAACAGCGACTCGCGGCGCGCCACGATGGCCGCCGAGAAGCGGCGCTGCCGGCTGTGGGGCTCGCCCGAGCTGGAGTAGTGGCGCTCTCGGAGCGAGCCCCCGCGCGGCGAGTTGAGCCCTCCCGGCAACGCGGATCCTGTGGACAGAGAAGGGACCACATTACCGAGGGAAACACTCATCTTGCACGAACACTGCTGGAAATAGGCGTGCTTTCCAGTGGAGTGTGCGTTGCGGTGCTGGAGAGGAGGGGAAACAAATGGGTCAAAAGTGCTCTAATTACTTTTCTAAAAAGTTTCATAACAATTGAAAGCACCCCGGCGCTGCAGACAATGCGCCCCGCTCCGCCCCCCACCCCGCCATCCGACTTTACGCACTCGGTGGCGTAAAGGGCTGTGCCGTGGCTGTGCCGTGGCTGTGCCAACGCTCGCGCCCTGAAAGCCGCTCGGAAAGCCGCTCTGAAAGCCGCCGCGAAATCCGTCCGAAAGCCGCGTTTGCCTCTCCACGCAGGTTGGAATGTAATCAGCGTCGGCGGCGCGGCGACGTGCCCGGCTCTAGAAATAGACGTTTGCCGTGTGGGCCCCGCGGCCCGCCGCCCCGCGCCTTGAGGCCTAACGCGCTGTTGTGCACGGCGCGCCCGACTCGGCCAGCACGCCGTCACCGCCACCTTTCCCACCGCCTTTTCAGAGCGGCTCGCCAGGGCCAGGCCGGAAGTGGATACGCCGGGCCAGCGGCAGCAGGGTTGCTGGCAGCCTGCTGCAGGCAGCGAAAAGCAGCTCGGAGGGACCTGAAAGGGTGAGCCCTGCCAGCGCCGCCAGCCCTGCCAGCCCTTCAGAGCCCCTGTCCCTCCGCCCTTGTTTGCGCGAGTGACCTGCTACCCTAGCCGGCCCTGCTGGCCCTACTGGCCCTACTGGCCCTACTGGCCCTACCCTCTGTGGCTGGAATCTCCCTCGCCCTGCCATACCCTCCGTCCCTTCCAGCCCTTCATCCCTCCCGCCCTTCCAGTTCAGTTTGGCCTGTGGAAACATAAAGCGCTGGGCGCACTCCTTGGGGCGTCCACAAACTTTGCCCCGAACTGCGGCAATGACGTCACGGGCGTGGCGTGGCACGGCACGGCACGGCACGGCGCGGCATGGCACGGCACGGTGCGGCATGGCACGGCACGGTGCGGCATGCAGGGCGCGGCGCGGCAGGGGCGGCGGCATGGGGCGGGGACGCGCGACAACGAGTGTAACATGATAGGTGGCAGAGATGCGATCCGCCTTCGAACACGGCTTGTGTGTGGACGTGTGTGTGCGCGCGCCTGCGTGGGTTTGGGACTGTCGCCGCCAACTAACTTTGGGCCTCGGGCCTGCTTCGCCTGCTTCCAGACATCCAGGGGAGGGGAGGGGCGGCCAGGGACTCAGGGTCAGCGAAGATGATCTTGTCGGGGACCTTGTGCGCGACCGGGACGGACCGAGAGCACCGCCGGCGTCGTAGATTAAATACAGGCGGAGGCCAGTGCGTTCCGACAGGCTCCACCCGGAAGTTGCCTGCTCCCTCCAGGGGCTGGTTTCCGAAACTGATGCCAAAGTGATGTCTCTCCACTGGAAAACCATAAAGGGAACCTATGTCTGCCGTGCAGGCGCCGCGCTTGTGTGGCAAGGCAAACAGCCGGGGTCAGTATTTGAACCCAGGACCCAGCAGCAGAGCAGCAGGGCAGCAGGCAAGTAGGTCGTGTTGTCACTCAGCTCCCCCGGGGGGCTGGGCCGCCAGGCCGGGGACGCCGGGGACGGCCGGGGATACAGGCAGGCAGCAGGGCACCGCGGGCCGCGGGGCGCCCTCCGACAACAGGTGTGCTGGCAGGGCAGGGCCTCGGCAGGGCGCACTCGGTACGCCAACCGTGTCGAGCAGGTCGAGCACACAGCAAATGTATTTATACAATTTTGTAAAGGTCTCCACACAGTTTCCCCATCAAATTTTGTTCGAAAAATCGCACCAGCACGCATGCTCAAAATGGTGAGAGACCGCGTACAAATATTGCACAAAAAAAGTTTACAGTGTCGGGCGGGCGGGTCGAGCAGGTACAGAGGCGCGAGGGGGGCGCGCGGGAAGGGCCCGCGGGGACGCTGGGTGGCCGAGGCCCCAGTCGAGTCGGCCCGCGGGAGGGAAGGCTAACGTGAGGCAGCGCGGCGGAGTACCCGCGGGAGTACCTCCGGGCAGAGGGAGGGAGACGGAGAGATGGAAATGCACGCCGCGTCCAGCGGAGAAAGAGGGGGAGAGAAGCAGAAAGGCGCAGAGAGGGAGGAACGGAGTGGACGGAAAGAGACGGGGAAACGCAGTCTAAAGCGGGTTGCCTATCGACGCGTTCGCAGGCGTGGTGGCGCGTGGTGCCGCGGCGAGCCGACAAAGTTGCCCGGCAGCGAGGCCGGCGGCGCAGCGGCCGACGTGCAGCCTCGCAAGCTGATGAGTGGCGGTCTAACTTCTGGGGATGAGCGTCCGGGGCCGCGGGAAAGGGGGGGGGGGGGTGTCCAGGGGGAGGGGGTGCTGGATGGCCAGTCCGGGAGGGTCAGGGCGAGCCGAGCGACGGACCGCGAAAATAATACGGCGGCGGAAGGCCGGAGGAAGGCAGGGATGATTGAAGCTCGGAAATGGAACGCGGTGGGTCGAGAGAGGGGGAAGAGGGGGGGGGGGGCGTGAGACACCGCGGGGGCCCGGGGTTGGGACTCCGAATTAGTGAACCAATTATTGTAACAAGGGCTCTCTGTCACACTTTGGTCATGGCCAGGGGAAAATGATGTCGAGAATACTGTTGGGATTGGGATCAAAAACTTTTAACTGGGAAAAGATTTATCCGCAATGCTCTGCTCAACTCTACGGAGATTTATCGCAACTTCGAAACATTTTGATCAAATCTTGAAACAAATTTGTCGTAGCTCTAAGCAATCAAAACTTCAGTAAATTATTTCCTTAAAATAATTGTTTCTTAAGATATTCAAATTTCAGTCAACTTTAATAGTGCTGGAACTCCGGAACCTCAAATCTGTTGCTGTGCGCATAATAACTTAATTGTTCCTTTCAAAACTCCAAGATTAATTTACTTTACATACACCCATCCTGATAGTACGTCATGAATTTACACATTAATTTTTCCGAGGTGAAGGGTGATCAACCCGATGGAGAAAAAGGTCCAAAGCGTTTGTTAATCGCTGTAAGGCCCTCAAAAGAAAGCAAGGCTTGCTTGAAGGGCCGGCGTGTCTGACGGCGTGTCTGACGGCGTGTTTGACGACGGCAGGCAAGCTGAATTCTTCAAATGGAGCGACAAAGGCCCAGAAGACCAAAGTCGATGGGGACGGCCGGAAAAATATAGTGGGTCACGCCGGCACGAGATGGGACGCTAGCGGACGCTAGGGTGGGGGTGATGAATGGAGCCGGCAGGCCAGGCAGGCCGGGCCGGGCCGGGCTGGCGGGCCCAAGGGCAAGGGTGGGCCGGGCTGCGTGGAGGTGTTTGTGTGGGTGGGGTGCGGGTGGTGCGGGCACGCAGGGTTAGCTGGCTGGAGGCAGCGTCGTCTGAATCCTATTCACCGATGCTGCCGTGCCCTTGTGGCCTCGCGGCCCTACACTGGGCTGGGCGTGACATCTGCAGGGCTGTGGGCGAGGCATGCTCAAGCATGGCCATGGCCGTGTCCCGGCGTCCCCGCCGAATGGCTTAGGTGACTTGTTAGTCTGTCATTTCGCGAAGCTGTGCGCGGCTCACCTCGCCCCCACCCCCACCACGGCGGCCCCTTCCCGCCCCTTCCCGCGCGTCAGGCCCCACCCGCGCCCCACCCGCACCCCACCCTTCGCTCCAGCTCCGGAGGCAGGGCGGCCAGGGGCGTGCCGGGCGGGCAGACTCAGGGGGGGCATCGATTTTCGATGGAGGGCCCACCGCCCCACCACCCTGCGGCCCGCCAGGCCCGCCAGGCCCACCCAGCCCGCCTCGCTCGCGGAGCACCGTGGTGGGACAGCCCTGGCGGCTGGGCGGGAAAGTGTGGGGCGGGCGGGAAAGAGGCGTTTATCTTTGAAATCTTGATGCACTCCAGAGGCTCCAGAGCCTCCAGGTCGACTGGCCGTGCGTCAGGCCGTCAGGCTGGGTGGCTATATTGGGCAGAGCTGTCCAGACCACCCTCTCGGCCAAAGCCCTTTGGGCCGGGTCCTCCGCCGTGGTCGGCCTGGTCTCCGGGGCGGTCGGGCGACCCTCGGCAAGCCCCTGGGGCCCCTGGGGCATGCCCTGGGCAAGCCAGGCCGTCAACACGCCGCAGGGCAGGGCACAATCGCCGGCCATGCAGCCAGCCGACTAGCGACGCTCCTTTGCCTCTTTCCTCCCCCATAGGCGCGAAGGCAAGGAGTGAGAGGCACGCCGTCCGAACTCATGGACACTGGTCCGGCCGCGCGCCGCCCCGCCCGCTCCTCCACGCGCAACGCGGCACGCGGCACGCGCCCACAGCCCCCAAAGCTGAGGGTCCGAGGGCGGCCGGCTTATGGAGGCCTCCCCGAATCTCTGCCGTCGAGGACCGCACCCTTATTGCAAAGCGGTGGGGGAGGACGCGGTGGCGGCGTGGCGGCGCGTAGTGGGTCAGTGGGTCGCGCGCGGCTCAGGTGCGTGCGGCGGCCGCGAGCAGCCTCCAGCGGCCGCCGTCATCTGTCTCTCTCGCGCTCACGGGGTGCTCCGTTCGGGCGAGAGAGAGACCGCGCGGCGGCGGGAATGACTCTGCAGCGCCCGGCGTCAAGCAGCCGCCGCTCCAGCCGCTAACCGCCCTCAACCGCCATCCCCCGGGGGCGGCGCCACCCCCGCCCGTCTCACCCGGAGGAGGCCCTGGAGGGATGGAGGGCGCCGAAAGGGTGGGACGTTCTAATGGGCCGGGACGTCGCCGCCAGGCTCCGCCGCCAGGCCTTGCCGCCGCGTCGGTGCCTCACCTGCACGGCCTGCACGGCGTGCGCCAGCACTGCCACGGCACAGCACTGCCTCTTGATCCTCTCGGCCTCCTTAATGAGACCGCGGGCGACGGTCTCTCTCTCTCTCTCTCTCTCTCTCTCTCTCTCTCTCTCTCTCTCTCCTCTCTCTCTCTCTCTCTCTCTCTCCCTCCCTCTTCCTCTCTATTCCACCCTCTCTCTTCCCTC